AGAGAAAAAAAAAGAAAGAAGAAAGAAATATGAGAACAACCCTGGGCCATGCCCAGGACCCATCTCACCTCAGGATAAGGCCAACGCAGAGGAGAAATCCGAATGTCAGGCTTCCTCCAGCCACCAGGAATGCAGGCAGTGCTGCCACCGAAGAAGAATGTTGCACTGAGAAAGACAGAAAGGAAGGAAGGGAGGGAGGGAGGGAGGGAGGGAGGAGGAAGAAGATAGAGGAGGAGGAGGAAAAAATTAGAAAGAGGAGGAAAACAAACAAACAAAACAACCACTTAGCTGGTGCTGTCAAAAGTTCCACAGGAACCTACTTGTAGAAGCCAAAATAGCTCTGTTAAACCAAACACCCACCTGACAAGCTGGCCAGTTTTCTGGCCAAATCCAACTCTAAAGAACCAACCTAGTTGAATGCGGTGGAGCATGCCAATAATCCCAGCACTCTGAGATGCTGAGGCAAGAGGATTGCAAGTTTGAGCCCAACCTGGGCAATTCAACCACTTAGCAAGAACTTGCTTTTTTTTTTTTTTTTAATTAATTTTTTAAAGGGCTAGGAAGTTGCTTAATACAAAATCCCTGGGGCCTAGTATAAACAAACAAACAGGCAGGTCACCCCCAGCATCACCCGACAAGCCCCAGAATTCTACAACTTGGCAAGAGATGCAATTCAAGCTCAGTTTCTGAGCTCCTGTGGCCAGCCACAGACTCACACTTGCTTTCAGAGTGGCTTCCTGGTGGCATTCAGACTGTGCCCCAGGGCTCGGAGGGTTTGAGGGGACTCGGAGCTCTCAGTCAAGCTGTTTTCTCCATGGGTGCCGTCTCTTGCCTGGCCCACACCAAGCACTCCCCCACCCAGGGTTCCTCTCCCGTGGCGCTCCTGCCTGCCCCTCTAGCTCCAGAGAGCACCATCTTTCCCTCTGGGACACTCCTGCCCTCACAAGATGCCCAGCACAAGGCAGACTCTGAAACATCACACTGATGAATGAAGGAACAATTCAGCTTCACTAGCAGCCATGTCTGCCTGCAGAACAGCCTTCCTACACCCTGCAGAGAACTCTGACCACACAGAGGATCACCTAACCAAGGCACCCTTCTTTCCTTCTGTTGGGAATATGGGAGATGAAGTTGTAACCCGGCGTGGTGGTCCACACTTATAATCCCATCATTCTGGGAGGCTGAGGCGGGAGGATGCTGTGTTCGAGTGCAGCGTAATCGAGCAATTTATCAAGATACTGTATCAAAGAAAATTTTTTTAATTCAAAAGTGCTGGGTCAGTGGACCCTGAGTTCAACACCCAGTAATACACACACACACACACACACACACACACACACACACACACACAGAGGCACTGTTGTACAGACCCAAGATTCAGGCCTTTGTACACAGTTGGCACCACTGCTGTGCAGCTCCCACTTGCCAGTCTTTAGTGTGGGTGCCCGTGGGGGCAGGCATGGCCACACCTCCCATCTGGCCAGTGATCTTGTGGCTCTAAGATGTTTTTCTCTTTTTGAGGCAGGGTCTCCCTATGAGTCCAGGCTGGTCTTGAACTCATGCTATACCCAACTTAGCCTCAAACTTGCAGCAATTCTCCTGCCTCAGCCTCCCCAGTGTTGTGGTGACAGGTGAGCGCCACCACATCCAGCCCAAGGGCAGATCTCTCCAGTATATCTCACATCATCAACTTTTCTCATTGTTCCTTCTTCCATCAATCACATGGCTATTTACTGAGTGCCTACAACAGACCAGGCTTTGTTCTAAGCTGCGGATGCAAAGCCAACCGTGACGACGATGCCCCTCCCCTTCTGAATTTTCCATTGTAATCAAGGGAGGCGGGCAAACAAGCAAACACATAAGGTGATGTTATCCTAAGTGATAACTGGATATGACCAGGGCAGTGATGAAAACCAAGCCACCGGAAGGCAGCCAGTGCCAGAGGAGCTCTGTCAGAGGCAGCAGTCAGGAAAAACTTAGCAATTTAGGAAGGATCTGTGTCTACTTCCATCCTGAATCTATTGCCAACCGTCCAAATAAGGGAAAACCTCTTGCAAATGAGAATACAAAGCTACCTAATCCTTACCTGGGAGGCTTGTTGCTATCGCAGAGACATAGTGACTATCGTCCTCTTCGTCAGTCGTTGGTGCCTAAGAGAGATGTGACCTATGGATTCAGGTGTCACCTCTTCCTCCAAGCCCCACCTGGCCACCCATCTGACCTTTGTCACCCCGTGCTTTTCGCTCTTATTTATAATATATGAGTCCCCACTAAATATTAGATAGAGATTTCTTCCCATCCACATCGCTGCCAAAAGCTGCCAGGCTCAGGGCCTGCCTGGAAGGTGCACAATGGACACACGACAGCTGTCTGATGGGACAGCATGGACCAGAAGCCCAGCTCCACCACTCACAGCTAGAGGATTGCAGCGGACTCCTCCGCTGCCCATGCAGCCAGCCCCCAGGCAGTGTTATTAAGACTCTCTGGCTCCACAGGCAGGAGCTCGAGAAGACGCCAGGACCATCCTACCTCTGGACTGCCTCCCTGTGCTGCTGGCTCTGCCTGTGGCTGAGCCTCGCAATTTAAGGCAAAAGGGAATTGAGGACCACAGGAGGAGATACAGCTGGACAACAAATTGGATTACTCTGGGAGTTTAAGCAGCTCGAGAAGTAATCCTCTTTACAGCCAATTATGAGGCCAGAGTCCACAGGGAAAGGATTCACACCAACTGAGTCGTGTCTCATGCTAAGCCGAAGCCGAAAGACTCAGAGATGAAACCGCAGCTACCAGGTCCAGTAAGCCCTCCACAGCCCAGGGACCCGCTCCACCCCTCACAGCAGGGACAGCGCATTCGCCCCGGCTGTGTTTCTAGCTGCAGGCACAGGAGAGATCTGAACCACTTCCTGTATAACACCAGCCCAGCTTCTAACCACGACGGGCCACAGCCTCAACCCTGCTGTGGGAAGGCAAACTCACCTCAGTGATATGGGGCGCAGTGGGGGAAGTCCTGGGTTCTGCAGAGAGAAGCAAGAGCTGTTGTTAGTGTCCCACACATCTCAGTCCTACCAGACAGCCCCACAAGTACAATAAAGATCATTATGCTGGTATTTAAAAGGACAGAGCGAGGTGCACGGGCCAGGGGTTCAATCCCGGGCCTGCCATGCCGGCCCCGCCCCCAGGGCGCACTGAGACTGGGCATGGTGGCACGTGCCTATAATCCTAGCACTTGGGAGGCTGTAAACCGGAGAATCACTTTGAGTCCAATCTAGTAGTGAGACCCTGAACATGCTGTAGACCCTTCCCTAAAATACAGGAGAAAAAAAGGACAGAGCAGCCCAGCAAGTCCTACCTATGCAGGAGGCTGCTGCAAAAGCATCACTTGAGCCCAGGAGTTCAAGGACAGCCTAGACAACACATCTAGATGCCATGACCAAGAAACAGAACAGAGGGCTGGAGAGATGGCTCAGTGGTGTAAAGCACCTACTTAGAACAAGCTTAGCAAAGCACAGGGACCGCGGTTCAATCCCCCAGCACCACACGCCAGCCAGCCCCGCCCCCTGGTGGGCTGAGCTGGACCCCCTGACACAAAGAAAGAAAGAAAGAAAAAAGAAAAAGAACAGAACAGAGCCTAGTGTCAGGGCACAGACCTGCAATCCCAACAGTGGGGAGGCTGAGGCAGGAAAACTGCTGTGTGATCAGTGCCAGTCTGGGCTATATATTGAGTTCAAAGCTGACCTGAACTATATAGTGACACCCAATCTCAAAAAAACAGAACAACAACAACAAAACTCCTCCCAAAAAGAAATTTCGGGACATAACCAAATACCTGACCTTAAGACACCAGCTATACATGCCAGGCAGGGTGGCATGGTGGTACACGGCTGTAGTACTGGCACTCCTAAGAATCATTGAGAGTCTGAGGCCAGCTTGAGCTACAAAGTGAGCTGAAGGCCAGACTGAACTGCATAGCAAGACCTTGTCTCAAAAAGACAACAACAAAAAAAGACAACAGCAGCTATACAAATTATGATAAAGTGACATAATGTAATAGTCCTTTTTTTTTTTTCAGTACTGGGGATCGAACTTCGGACCTTGCACTTGCCAGGCATGTACTGTTGCCACTGAGTTATCTCCCCAGGCCCTTAAATTTTTTTTTTTAATAAGCATTACACAACATATACATGCATCAAAACATCACAACACATCCCATCAATATGCTCATTTACTATGTACCAATCATATAGTTCTCTGGTCAGGACTCTGGCTCCGGTGGAGGTGGCTATTGAGAATGAGTGTGAGTATCCCCAGGTGGCCCAAGGTGGCCCTGAACTGCATGGCAATCCTCCTACCCATGCCATCCTCAGGATGACAGGTGTGCACTAAAAACCCTAGCCCAAATGTATGCTTTAGAAAACTACAGAAGACATATATGAAAACTAAAAGACAGAAAGAAGTTCACCTATGTTGGTTCAAAGTTTCTAAAGAAAGAAATCCCTGTCCTTATCTTAAAGCTTTTTTTTCTTTGCTTTGCTTTTTTTTTAATTTTAGGGAAGGGTCTACAGGGTGTTGTTCAGGGTCCCACTAGCAGATTGGACTCGTAGTGATCTGCCTGTTTACAGCCTCCCAAGAGCTGGGAGTACAGGCGTGCACCACCACACCCAGTCTCAATCACCGTCTCAGCCCGCACCCCGGGGGGCGGGGCCAGCATGACAGGCCTGTCTTTATCTATGCTATATTACATTGTGTATCATACAAAGGTAGGGGCCGGGGAGATGGCTCAGTGGAATATAGGCTTCCCTGCCAAGCGCAAGGGCCTGAGTTCAATCCCCGGTTCCGCAAAAAAAAAGAAAAAGAAAAAAAGGCAACTTATCATACAGAGGAGAGAAAAAAGGGAAGATCCATACACACCACCACATGGAAGTGTTATGAACATTTGGACTCCCTTCCCTGCACCTTTCTGCAATGAAAATAGCAGCATAACCAGTCAACCCGCATCTGCCTGGATGGCTCGACACAGCTGGCAGTGGGACTCAGGCCAGGTATCCCTTCCCACCATGCACACACCCATGACCTTTCCTGGGAACAGCAATTTCTGTGGAAATCACTGAAGCACAAGGAAGGTAGGCTCAGAGCCAAAGTCCTGACCAGAAGCCAGACCTAAGCCACATGTAGGCCTGAGGGACCAGGCACTGGGCTGTGACAGGCCACGGGTGGAATGTTCTGGATTCTAAAAGATCTTTCTTCTTGTTTTCCATAAAGAAGTTTGCAACAACGTAAAAAGTGGGTGCACTGGGAGCCAGGGAGATGGCTCAGTAGAATAAGTGCTTCCCTGGCAAGCGCAAATGTCTGAGTTCAATCCTCAGTTCCTCCAAAAAAAAAAAAAAAAAAAAAAAGTGGGTGCACAATGTTGTCCACAGCCCCCCTGACCCCCTGCATCAGTGAAATAAGCACTGGCGAAGGGTGGCAGAGAACCTGCTGTCCCTGAGATGAAGGGACCACACCCGAGAGCATTGAGGGGGAAAGAGCACACCTACAGCCCTCAGCATGCAGCAGAAAGAGGCCCAGCAAGGTAAAGAAACTGATCTCAGGGAGG